GTTGCAGACAGATAAAAATGTTCTTTTGTTTCACTAAAGTATCAATAGGAAATAAGTTATTGAATAGAAATGAAGAGGTATGCCTACATTAAAATTGGCATTCTATACAAAAATGAAGAAATATTTATTTCATTTCCAATTGTGAAAGGTTTTATGTTTTAGAATGCCGTAAATTAATGGTGATGGAATTGATTTTTATGAAGCAGAAATTTGAACTTAATTGCATAATTACCTGCCTTATTAAGCATGTCAAAGATCAAAATGATTTATAGGTTTATATTGGAAAAGGATAAGGTAATGTTTTGTTTGTCAACAATGAGGGGAATTCATGTTACATTGAGGAGAAATTAGGGTCAGATAAACTACTGTAAATTAAAAAAATATTGTGTGCATTTATTATTGCGAATTTTGAAGAATGGACTAAAATGCGAGATTAATAATTGCGATTTCAGGAAAATCTGCATACATTTATATGTATCAGATATCAGAATGCGAATTCTTATTATTGAGATACTCATTGAGTCGCATTATTCGCATTAATAAAATCTTGCAATAATTTCTGAATTGACAGTATTTGAGTTTTCAGTGATGTCTGTGAACTAAAGGGTTTAACAAAAGGGAGTCACTGTTACAGTGGGGATATTATTGGTCAGAGGAATGAGTTGTCAATGATGTCTGTGGACTTAAAGGGGTTTAACAAAAGGGAGTCACTGTTACAATGGGGGTATTATTGGTCAGAGGAATTAATTGAGTTGTCAATGATGTCTGTGGACTAAGGGGTTAAACAAAAGGGATTCACTGTTACAGTAGGCATGATTAATGGTCAGAGAAATTATTCTAGGGACCATGTTAAATTGTTTTGTACTTTTTTGATAATATTTTACAAACGAAAATGAAACAACGCCTAGTGAATCTGTAGTACGGTAGAGTCCCTGAAGTGGATACCTCTAGTATACTGAGGGTCGTTATGATAAAGCACAAAAAATTTAGAAAGTCTTATAACAACACTTTAGGGACTGCTGCAGAAAATTTATTGATCTACATGTTTCGGTGCCTAATGATAGTGATAATAGTTAGATGAATTTTACAATCAGGTTTAAGACACAAGTCTACAAATGAGGTATTTGCTGTTCCCTTGTACAAAAGAGGTATTTGCTGTTCCCTTGTCCACATTCAGAAAATAAAATGTTATTTGTACATTTATAGCCATTAATGTTTATTTATAAAAGGCAGACCAGAAATGGGAGGGATTAAAGGTGAATATGGGGATTTATTTGGACAATAAGGAGATTAGGGTGGGTTAGTTCTGTTTAAGGGGAGACATCTATGTTACAGAAAGTTTAAATACTTTACATATCTTTATCAAAAGGTGTAAAATAAATGCAATTTAAATTATTGATTTACATATTTTGGTTCATGTTATACATGTGGTATAAAATGATTTTAATTTGCTAATTCTTGTGGAATATTTGTATATTTTGAAATATAAAATTCCGGAAATTAAACAACGCAAAAATATGGAAACAATTATCACAGATAATATGATAAATTCAGACTAAATCAGAATTAATATAAATAAAATGAAAGATTTGTAATTGTGTTTGTTGTGAAATGGAATGTTTAAATCAGTGAGACCCAAGTTGATTATATCTAAATAAAGTAAGACACTCACTGCCAATACAACTACATATAGACGTCATGTTCAAAAATGGATTTTTTTATCTCAGTTATTTTATCCATGAACGGAAACATTAAATGAGCATGAAATTGACAGACATTATACTTATTGAATTCAGTACGGGTTTTGCTTATTTATTGAATGCTCAGTGCAGTAACCTATAATTGCTAAAACCACAAGTGATTTAATTTGTACTCTGTTGGATTATTTTCTCATTAGGAATCATACCACATCTCTGTATATATATGTTTTCAATTTAGACTTATATATATATTATATATACAGGGTTAGTTTTACTATGAAGGAATTTTTATGTTGAAATAATGCACACTGAGATAGACCTGTTTCTAGGTTGTTTCACTTTTGGAGAATTGCGGGCACCATGCATATGGTTACCACTGTACAAAAGGAAATTTGAACAAATGTTGGTATGGACGAAGTGTGGTTAAATTTAAACAGAAGGCACCCTACACTATTGTGTCATGGAAAAACTGCATGTAGCTGTTTTTTTTTGTAGTTTTATAAAATTAAAAAAGTGAATGTATTTTGTGGTTTGTAAGTGTGTCTTGCTATATGAAGGTACTTAAGTTAACTAACTTATGGCATCCTGGCAGTAAGACCAATAGAGTTTACTTAAGTTAACTAACTAATGGCATCCTGGCAGTAAGACCAATAGAGTTTACTTAAGTTAACTAACTAATGGCATCCTGGCAGTAAGACCAATAGAGTTTACTTAAATTAACTAACTAATGGCATCCTGGCAGTAAGACCAATAGAGTTTACTTAAGTTAACTAACTAATGGCATCCTGGCAGTAAGACCAATAGAGTTTACTTAAGTTAACTAACTAATGGCATCCTGGCAGTAAGACCAATAGAGTTTACTTAAGTTAACTAACTAATGGCATCCTGGCAGTAAGACCAATAGAGTTTACTTAAGTTAACTAACTAATGGCATCCTGGCAGTAAGACCAATAGAGTTTACTAAAGTTAACTAACTAATGGCATCCTGGCAGTAAGACCAATAGAGTTTACTTAAGTTAACTAACTAATGGCATCCTGGCAGTAAGACCAATAGAGTTTACTTAAGTTAACTAACTAATGGCATCCTGACAGTAAGATCAATAGAGTTTACTTAAGTTAACTAACTAATGGCATCCTGGCAGTAAGACCAATAGAGTTTATTATGGAGTTTTATCAATATAAATTTTGTGGCATATTTGATTTTGTATGAAAAAGTCAATGGATGGATTTATAGTTCTCTCAGTTGAAATTAAGAGAAATGACAAGGATTGATAGAACTAGTGTTTCATATCATCAATATCTAAACCAAGGTATGACAATTAAAGATGGAATATATTAATGTGTGTGATTCCCCTTTTGGCTTGTACCTGCAGTTGCCCTTTTAGTTTTTGACTGATTTTGATAAACTCTTTATGGTATGGAAGTACGCCACTAATTCATGACCCCATTGCTTGTATGTTAAATTCCTTAACTTTCAAGCAGGCACAGCTCTTTTGTCTTAATTTCAAATAAAGTGACAATCATTTCATGTCAAAGCAACATCTTATGGTGTATTGTACTGAAAAAATCAACATATCTTTAATGGCATGTAAAAGAGAACTGGGGTTCCCGGAACTTCAGATGTACCAAAACGGGTATTTCAGATCTAACAAACAGTTAAAATGTACCCCCCTTTTTAAATTTTATGCAATATTTTTTATTATTTAAAATTATAAGTCAAAAAGTGTTTTAAAATTATCACCAGTCATTCAGCTTTCATTTGATACCAAAATTACCAAAATATTCTACATATTTTGAAAGTTACGCTCATGCGTAAGAACTATTTTGTGTTAAATATGTACTATTATCTGGTATGTACTTTCTGACTGGACCTGAATTTAAGTGGTGTTAAACCATATAAATGAGAGGAATGATGTGGGATACAGGTGCAGATCCAGGATTTTGAAAAAGAGGGGGCTGGCCACCTTGCAAGCCAATGTTTGGAGTGATACTAGTAAAAAGTCTATGCATTTATGATATATGAAGCTACATAAGGGGTTGATGGCCTGGGCTGCCAAATCCTTGGGGGGACCACTTCAATACTTAATTGAAAGGGGTGCTGCTGGGGTGCTGTTACCCCACCCTTTTCTTCTAATTTAGATTTTAAAAATGTATACCTTTTCATATATTGTGTAGGTAAATATGTAACCTTTTCCCATATTGGTTGGGTTTCATGTAATTTTTTGGAAAAGTGGAATACCAAAGTTTCAAAAGAGAATCATATAATCAAGAAAATATCACCTTTGCTCAGATTCTTTTTGTAATGTTTACTTACAACGAGACTTTTGGCTGTGAAAAAATTACAGGGCTTTCATTTAACAAGTAATCACAGGAACTTTTAGAACTGACCTTCTCATATATTTCTGATCATTTCCCCCACCCATTTACATATTTTCAAGCTGGAAAATGTGACCTATTCCAGCGGCACGCCCTATCACCTTGTATAAAGGAATTGGAATTCAAATGTGAGTTATGCTCCTTGGAAATGTAACTTATGCAAAAAATGGAATATAAAGGTTATGATAGAGGATGTTTTATTGTGTGAGCCTTTGAAGAACAAGTAGTACTTGCTCCATTTTAGTGGCAACTTTCATGTTGTACAGGACAAATTTCAATCATTTATTGCATATTGTTAAAAACTTCCTACATGGATCTATTAAGCAGCCAAAAGTGACATGAAATATCACTAAATAGATTTAGAAAAATTAAATTGATCCCATTCCCAATTCTTTGCAAAAATGTAAATAGAATTAGTATTTTGATTTATCTCCCCTTGTATATACTCTTAGTGACATTGAAGATATTAGTTTGAAGAAGAAAAATACTTTAATGAAAAAACAAGAAAATATGAGAGCAATTTTAAAGTTGTTTGTTGTTATAATTCATTAATGTTTTAAATTCCTGGAAAATCTGCTTTCAATTTTCAGTGTGCTTGAGTCTGTTAAGTATATTCTTGAAAAAAAACCGTCTGCTTTCTGTATTCAGTATCATGTTTATGCTCTAATTAAATGTTCAGGAGAGACAATTTTTAAAATGTGAAACAGTGCTTGAGTTTGTTAATGTTTCATGAAATCTTATTTGTGAGATGGAATGAACAGTATGGAAACTCCATTACATACATTTTCCCGTTAATATTTCTTGCATTTCAGGTAAAAACATGATTGATTGATTTTTGGTTGCTTAACGTCCAGAGCAGTAAAAATACGGCAAGTTTTTCAAACTATGTGTGAACCATGTGACCATTAAGTTCCTCTATTTCAGATGATAACATGAAGACCAGACTTGTTTGCTCTGCTCCGATCCTAGAATGTCTGTCACTACCCTCCAGCAGAAGTTCTTCCACAACTAGCCAGTCAATACAAGGTGGCAGTAAGAATGGTGACGAAGAAAAGGAAGAAAGGAATGAAGAAAAAACAGATGAAGGGGCCATAAATTACTCAGGTATGTTGAGAAACTTTGAAAAGTTTTAGTTGTTTCCATGGTATCTGGTACATCAGAAGAGTTGTTTTGTTAGGTTACCATGGCAACATGAATTTTGTACATAACTTTGTTAGACTAATTTCAAGATAACCATATTGTAAAGACATTTGTCTATTGTTAAAGATGGAATATTATTAGTTACACAGTGTGGTAGTGACCTAAGACGATACAAGCTCGAACCCCATATGGAAATTACTGACCCCATATAGTTTGTATTAGGTCGCTAACACACTGTGTAACGCATTAATCTTACCGACTATCTTCACATGATGTTTTTAGACTAGTGGCCTATCAAAGTGATCAAGTCTTCGATATTTAATAATCTACTTCCATTGGTCTATACTAAAACAAATGTTAACAATAACAACTTGTTAGCTTTTAATGTGTTTTCTGCATTTATTAGAATCATTCATCATCAATTTTGTCATCTGTTGTACAGGCGAAATGTTTCATATTTTAAATTAATGCCATGTTGTTTTTATAAAGGGAAGTAACACCACTACTATCCGTGTATTGAATCAAACCACGCCTACTTACCCCATATGAAGTATACACGGTCTCCACACGGTCGCTTTTAACCAATCATATTCCTAGAAATGTATAGGAGGTAAGATAATGACAAATGCCCATCATATCTTATATAATAAGTTTGAGTTACTATTATCAAAATAGAAGTAACTTTATTATACCTGGCTCCAATGTAGTGGGTATAATAGTTTACATACTATAGATTGGATTGAGTGACAAATCTTGCTAATATATTCATGTCATGCCCATTAGATGCATAAATAAGTAACAAAAATCCTATGCATCCAGAATTAGATAAAACAGTCAAAGTAAAAGGATGAAGAAAAAAATGGGGGTCGAAGGGAATAAAATTTATGTTTGTGCTTCAAGAGTTTAGTACATGAATAAATGCTACGTATCAGTGGAGTAAAATGTATAATGTACGATTTATCTACATGAAAATGGAGCTATTAAGATTTTGAGATGGAAACTTACACTTCAAAATCTTGGTGTGCAATTTCCATGTTTTCTATATAGACTGTGCTCTGATGTTCCACTGCCCCAGCAAGTCTTAAAAGGCCATCAGAGGTCAGAATAATCATGGCCTAGATTGGTTTAAAAATATCAAACAACAATGTAACACAAAGAATAATAATGATGGAAAACAGCCTTTAATGAGAACAGAATTAAGGATGTTAGCTACTCTGGGTTTTTGAATTTTTGTCAGATGTTCCGAATCCTCTGGTTTTATCCATGTAGTGCCATTAAAAAAACTTGCCTATTAACCCCTACTTTTCTTTCCATAATTTGATTACATATAGTTTAAAATGTCATCTTTGAAAATATTATAAAATTCTTTTGAAAGAAAAAAAGGTACCAATGTTAAATGCATGAAAAATCTAGAGAGAATTATTTCCCGCCAAATTTTCAATGGCTTATATCTCGAAAACAAGCTCACGGACCCTTCATTTTTTTCTGCTTTTTTAGTTTATTTATATACTAATAATTTATAACAGTCTTTTAAAAAGCTTGTTATTTTGAAATAGAGTAGGGAACATCCTTAAGCAATTGAACCTAAATAGATTTAAAAAGAAGTAATTACTATGTGTACTAAATAAGTAGACAATGTGAACTTTAATGATATAGATTGAATGTTGTTTGCATAAGTCCAGTGGCAAATATTTCATGCATGTTCAGGACGAGTTATTTGATAATAAGTATGAGAAATCAATTTAATATGATACTCCAAATTTACACCATCACAATATTTAAGACACAATTTTTGCTAGTATGAAAACTTCTGACATTGATCAAAATAGATTTTTAGGAAGTCTCATATAGTAACTCAATGGTAGTACAAAACTTTAGCATCAGTGGTAAGTGTTAAGAAATGCCTCATAAACCTTTATTTTGATCTTTTCAAAGAAAGCTGTGTACAAGAACTTTTCATTTCAATATAGAAGAAGATACCAATACAACTTGGTTTTTAATGTGGTAAAGTTTTCGACATTAAAGGAGTTCTTATGGGAAATTACATTGTCTGCATGTTTACACTGTACAATTACTGCAAACAACTGGAGATAACTCAAATCAGGAATAAAATATTATATTGTGGTTGCCTCCCCTTGAATGGTAAGTCACATATTGCATGCATTAAATGACCTTTAGTGCCTAACAAGATTTTGTGAGGTACACAAAATTGACCTTAAATAACGATTGTAATGAATTTTGATGTCCAAAAATAGGCAGATCGGACATATTTTGTCTTTATTGACTGATTAATTTTGTTTGGGATTAATTGTAATTATAACATTATAATGAGACTGAAAAATGTTTTTATTAAGATAAACAATAACTTTGTCGGGGTAGCTGTGCGTAAAATGTATTTCAGCATTTCTCTTCGAAATATGACTTGTTTAATGGAATAAAATATCTGATTTGTAAATTTTCTCTTAATTTCTTGGGAATACTGGCTATTAAAAAATAATTAATCTACTCTATATGTAGAAAATTATGTGAAAATATTGAAAGTGGCAATTCTTACCTTTCATACCTTTAGTCTCGTTGATAAAAAATAATATGAACTCGTCTTAAGTGTCCAGTTTGAAGGTCGTTTAAGTTAATGTACACATTCATGCACGTTCTGATTTAATCAATATACATGTATGAAAAAAATAAACAGTTTGAAGTTAAACTAATAATAACTTAGTCCAATCAAATTACGTAAAATTCATTAACCAACCTTTAAACAGACTTATTCAGAAGGGATATAGTTACAACACTGTTGTCAGGTCATTAAAGATGGCATATTTTGGTATTAATATTGATTCACTCACAGGGTCTTTGCATCGGAAATTAAAACACATTTATTCTAAAACCAGTTGTTGGCATGATACGGGTTATGTTTTACTCATATATTTTATGGTATGATACTAAACCCCTAACGGGAGGGATTGTGCTTGATTTGCATATGATGAAGACATAATCTTTCAATCAGTTTAATTGAGGTCTGGAGCTGGCATGTCAGTAACTGCTAGTAGTCCTTTGTTAATTTATGTATCATTGTCATTTTGCTTAGTTTCTTTTGGTACCTATTCTGACATCGGACTCTGACTTCTTTTAAACTGAGTTTTACTGTATGTATTGCTGTGTGTTTCTTTAATCTACATTGGCTAGAGGTATAGGGGGAGGGTTGAGATCTCACAAAACATGTTTAACCCTGCCACATTTTTGCACCTGTCCCAAGTCAGGAGCCTCTGGCCTTTGTTAGTCTTGTATGTTTTTTAATTTTAGTTTATTTATATGTTTTGGAGTTTAGTGTGATGTCCATTTTCATTGAACTAGTACACATTTTTGTTTAGGGGCCAGCTGAAGCCCGGCTCCGGGTGTGGGATTTTCTTGCTGTGTTGGAGACCCATTGGTGGCCATTGGCTGTTTTCTGCTCTTTGGTCGGGTTGTTGTCTCTTTGATACATTCCCCATTTCCATTCTCAATTTTATTAACAATGACCAGTCCACATCATAATAAGTAATAGGGGTAAACTGGGTAGGGAGAAAATGACATATTTTAAGTTCATTTTTTTCTCACCTTGACAAGAGTCAAAAAGCAAGACATAGGTATGCTGTTTCCGGTGTCAGCGGCTGCGTCAACAATGTATTAGTTTGTGATTAGGTCTAGTTCATGGTGAACCACTAGTGGTAGGTCAATGATGTTAAGTATGCAGTTGTATTAGAATTGGCACATCTCATTTCCATGGAGATTATTTGGCCCTGCCCCTCAGTCATGGTCTATTGACTTTGAAACTTTTGCTTAGTTTACATGTAATAGTTTGTGGTTAGGTCAGTTTATGGGGAACCACTAGTGGTAGGTCAGTGGTATTTGGTATGCAGTTGTATAACTTTAAGCATTGGCATATCTCATTTCCATTGAGATTATTTGGCCCCTCCCCCTCAGTCATGGTCTATTGACTTTGAAACTTTTGCTTAGTTTACATGTATTAGTTTGTGATTAGGTCAGTTTGAGGGAAACCATAAGTGGTAGGCCAATATTAATTGGTATGCAGTTGTATAAGCATTAGCACATCTCATTTCCATAGAGAATATTTTGCCCTGCCCCTCAGTCATGGTCTATTGACTTTGAAACTTTTGCTTAGTTTACATGTATTAGTTTGTGATTAGATCAGTTTAAGATGAACCACTAATTTTAAGTCAGTGATATTTGGTATGCAAATGGAAATTATATAGCCCCACCCCCTCATCATGGTTCATTGACTATAAAACTTTTACATAGTTTACAAGTTAATGTTTGTGTTTAGGTTTGTTTAAAGGGAACGACTAATGATAAGTCAATGGTATTTGGTATGCAGTTGTATTAGCATTGGCACATCTCATTTCCATGGAGATTGTTTAGGCATGTACCTTCAGTCATGTTTCATTGACTTTGAATACTTCCATAACTTACATGTTAAAGTATTGCTATTTTAATTTCAACATTTGTATTTTCAAAATCACAAAAAATCAAGACATATCTCTGTGTTAACAGTTTATTCTAATAAAGAATAAAAATATGTCAACAAAAAGTTCTGCTATAATTTCAAAACCATGTCGTTCTTTATTGGTATAGTTTTCGGATCTTTCATTTGTGTATTTAAGGCAATAGAAGGTTTGGGCTTCAAAAGTGTACATAATTATTGACTTTATACAGAAAATTCACCCTTTTAAAACATTTAATGTTTCACAAATAATACATGGATACATGGATACAAAGTAAAATCATTTTTTAAAACACTGCAAAAATATTTCATTCTGATTGGTTTAGTGATATTGTCATAAAGTACGTTGAAATAAAGTGTGGTCTAGCAAACATCTAATTCCCTCACAAAATATTATCACACACTATAAGTGTATTCATATCAAAGGAGGAGAATCCAAAACCTTCAATACAAGATCAACAGA